AGATACGTAAATATGTAATTTTCACGAAGAAACAATATAATAATGATTTCACGATATTAATTCGTATATTCGGTGCTGTTGAATTTGATGTTAATCAATGCATCGGCCAATGTATCAAAGATCACGCGGTTTCATTTAGGAATATCTAATAGCTCATTATTTTTCATCATTATAAGAACGGTCCTGATGGCGACCGCATAATGCTGGAAGTTAATTGCAATCGTCATTCAAAAAGGAATAGAAAAAGTACGTTTCGAGTCGCTGAGGGATGGACAAGCGTAGCCCGAGTGTATAGTTGATTTAAAATATACATTTTGAAATTTCCGTTTCTAACAATACGCGTATCCGGTCAAAGGGAAGCTTTCATTTAGAGCTCTGTTTATGGGGATTATCGTTTTATCGCTAAAAACGTACGTGGATATAATCCTTTGGAAGCTTCTAATCGTATCGGCGTTTTCCACGTTAAACGTAAGGTAAACAATTTAACACGGATTTATTTCATCCTATGCTGTATTAATTCTTACTCGTGCGCTACGCTTATTTCGATTTCATTTTCTTTAATTATTCATTTGCTTGTTATCAAATCTGTATGTACGTACAAACGTAACAATTTTACATATAGGTTGCATTATCTATACTTACACGCGTATACTCGTGTGGAAAATATTTACGCGCGTATTTTTGATTTTTGTCATCGGCGTTGTAAATCGCGAGTTCAGCTTTTTTTCTCTTTTTTTTTTTTTTCTCTTTTCGAATCGATCTCCCGCGTCCCGTTCGTTTCGTTTCGTATTTTTTTTTTTTTTTTTTTTTTTTTCGATAGATGCCACGAGTGCAACAAAAACAAAGAAAAATAAAAGAGGAAATAGGAAGAGGATTACTCGTAACGTAACTGTCATTATTTAAATTAGAAAAAATGAAAAGACAAAGAATGCTACCATAAAAGTGACGTCCCGCTTGTTCAACTGCTTTTCTTTTTTTCGTTTTTTTTTGTTTTGTTTTTTATATCAATATCTATATATTAAAAAAGAAAGAAGGAAATTGTAAAAAAAGAGAGAAAGAAAAGTATATTCACGTCTTCCGTTTTTCTAGCAGATTGCTTGCTCGTTTTTACTACGATTTACATTTCATCCGAGAGATGTGCACGATGTTTGAGCGACGTTCTCATAACTGGTGCCGTTGCTGAGCCATACGACTAATAAATATTTTTCGTTGCAGTATGATAGATACGCACGTATGCGTTCATGACATATAATGGACACCGGAAATGAAATTTTCTACCTTGTTTTTTTGTTAATATACACTTCCGCGGACACCGACGAACGATATATTTTTCCGTTGAGAAATACTTTCGAACAATACGATTTTCTTTATTTTCAACTATAACATTCCTTTTTCTATTTCATTTCTATTACGTTTGTTCGTGTGTTTAATGACCTCACGGGAATCGATTTATTTGATCGCGATTATAAAATTCGTAGATTCATCTGGTTAACAAATTTTATGCTCGAACAATTGACCGTTTCCTTGATTTTCTTTAGAAACAAAATATTTTCACATTGAACATTGGCTTATTCATTTTCGACTCAATTAATTGGTAATTAAATTTATATTTACATTTAGATGATCGATTTAAAACGCGTTTATTCTTATTTTCTTGATAAAAGATTCTCATTCGTATTGTCATTCTCAATCATAATCTTTATAAATGATTTGGAATGAATCATTTTTTGAAATATCATTTTTCGAGTATTTTTATTCGCGTATCATTTGTTCTCTCTTTTCTATTATCATAAATATTTTCAATAAAAATATATCATATATACATATATCTATTATAATACAGAATAATATATACCATATATAGAGAATAATTTTGAATAGATGAAAAGAAGACAGAGTACCGGTACTACTTGTCTATCAGTTATAGTTCAGCATACCCAAGTTATACTTTTTGGAATAGGCAAAGGGAAAAAAGAAAATGATTTCGATGAAACATCGACGAGTAAAGAGAATCACGTCAAACGTGTATGCGATTTGAACGACACTCGATGCTTATTATGTTTTCGTAATTCGCCTCGTCACTTCGATCGGTTAACATTCACCCGCGTGAAATTTTAACGAGCCACCTGCACGATGCACCGTTGTCACCGTTCGTTTGTCGTCGAAGTGCCCCCTCGAATTCGCGTATTATAACGCGCCTGAGCAATTTTCCTTTTTTTTTTCTTTTTTTTTTTTTTTTTTTTTTTTTTTTTTCATCTAAAGCACGAGCGTTCACTACTGTCGTCTACTACATACATACAAACATACATACATACGCGGTAGCGTTATAGTACCGTAATAAACGAGTGAGTACCTTCGCGATACTCATTAACATTCTGTTTCCCATAAATCATGCGATAGCTATTACCGTTACGATCTGTAGTTAATTATATCCATCGCGTCGCAATTACTCGGGGGTTACCGTTGTAACTGTGCTGCTCCATTTTCGCGCATTCAACGCACAATGGCAGCGCAACCGAAAACGCGAGGGGCTGAAGGGGCCGAGGGGGAAATATATACGCGTCACTTCGATTCGGTATTTCACAGTTGCCACCGCGCAGTTACCGGTCCATTTTTCCTTTTTTTTTTTTTTATTTGTTTTAAACGGGTTCCTCTTTTATTATTTAGCTTTTTTTCCTTTCTCTCTCTCTCTCTTCATTTTTTGTTGCTTGCATGGGTTCACCTCTCCCTCTCTCGTATTTCCCGCCGATAAATATTATCGAGAAAATAAAAAAAAAAAAAAAATAAAAATTACAAAAAAAAAAAACAAAATGAGCGTATCGTGGCGTAAGATCGATTTCGATATTTTTTTTTTTTGTTTCCCCTTGAATCAGCAACGCTCATCGCCGTCCAATTTTCCGACACGAGCCGGTAACCTTTCCATGGATAGGAAGAGATCGTTATTGTTTTATCGTCGAAGTCGTTCCACTAAATTATTTTCAACGATCGACTTTTCGTACGTGAAAACGGTCGCCTCGAAACATCGACCTATGAAGAAGTTTCTTGCATTTATGATATTACCTTTAAGCTCACAACTTTCCAACGATCTTATTATATCGAGAGACGATCGAATAAACAAATAAATATCTTAGATGCGTTTGCCGAAACTACTATCGAACCAACCATGTACACATATCGTATATATGTACATAGGTTTATACGTTTTACCATTAAGAAACTTCATTTCGCGACGGTGAATTGAACTCGATCGAGAGTAACCAAGAACGTTTCCCGAAGAATCCTTCGTCGCAGGCCAAAGGTGAGTTTAAGTTAGGCTCGTAAGAGTATCTCTTATCGGTTCTCAAAGTAGGAAGTGTCTACTCGCGTCGCTGTTATCTTTCTCGTTCCCCTAGTTTCCTACGAGTCAGACGTTCTCTATATATATACATATATATAACTGTCGCATTATCATGCAAGCATAATGAACCTGCCAACAGATATATTTACGTATACGAATAGTTGTTGCTATCGACTCTGACGCAACCCACCATTATTCGTCTCTTAGTACTCAAGCAAGGGTCCCTTTCCTTTTTCCATTGGATTCCAGGTCGATGAAGTTTTCTATTACATCCAAAGTCGAATAAACTTTAGTCCGCGCGTATAGAAACATGCTGATTAAATATATTTAATTCTAAGTATAAAAGTCGTCGAAATAGTAAACTCGCGTTAATCCGAGAATTCAAAGTAACGCGAGTAAGCTTCGTTGAGAGACGAGAAAGATCGTGTTCGTTAAACAAATTGGCTCGGAGGTCGTAAGAGTAATTTTCTACAAGGTGAGTACCACCGAGTTACGAATCGTTGAATCGGCTAGAAGTACCTACTACTTTCTATGGAACTTTGAAAAAGTCAAGCAACTGAAGCGAAAGTTTCTCAAAGTTGACGTGCCGTTTGAATCGACGCAAAGGAAGAACGTAGGAGGATTGAAATAGCCTCGTTTCCTACCTTTATCGTCGATTTCTTATTTCTTCTTCTTCTTCTTTTCTTCTTCTTCTTCTTCTTCTTCTTCTTCTTCTTCTTCTTCTTCTTCTTCTTTCTTTCTTTCTTTCTTTATTCAATTCGTCGTTTCTCCTATTCGTTTCGCGGTGGAAGAGTCACGTCCGATTTTTCTATATAATTTGATTTGGTCAGCGAACGGTCACGAAATCAACGTGCGACTTTCTACAAGAAAAAAGACCTCCTAGTTTTCCTGGTTAAAGTTCAAAATGGGGAAGTTACATTAGCACCGCGAACAAGAATGGTACAAAAAAAAAAAAGAAGTAAAACTGGAAATGAGATAGACTTGGTTTATTTCGATAAAAGATCGTAAATAACTTAACTTTGCCGTCCACGATCATAGATGGGAAATATGTTTTTGTAATCTCTCTTAAAGCGTATTTTACTTTCCTCTTCATCTCAAAATCGTAAAAAAACTAATTACTCTAGCGAATTTTTTGTTCTTTTTCTTCCGTAATTTATCCTTTACCGTTGACCATTTACAGACGTTGTTTTCTATTTCCCTTTTTATACATTCCCATTTCGTAAAATTGCATCGATTTAAATATTTTCGAAGTACTTACTTTCCATGCTATATTTCTCGTGAAAATTAGTGGTGGTTGATTGTAAATTATTATAGTTGCCATTGGGTTTCTCGATTAATTCATAAACATTTTGTAAGATTAATTTTGTCTTTACGAGAGATAGCAGGAAAAGGGGTAGAATTGCAAGACGTACGAAACCTTTTGGGCAGGGAAACTCCGTAACTCGCCCGTAGAATTTGAAAGTTTTGATTGCACTTCTGTTTCCTACGACGAAATTGATTTAGAAGTTTCGTTGGACGCGAAACATCGTGGATGCCGTTGAGATGCGTCGAAGGCGACGACGACGACGACGATCCTCGTACTTTTATTTTTCAACAGATATTTTTCTTTCATCCATAATATCTACGCCATCAACGTTCTCAAACTATGTTATTTTTGTTGTAGGTCTTAGACAACGCGCGGGCACCACGGATTCTCCAAGAACCGGTAAGTGTAAAGGGAAATCTAAATTCTCCATTAAAGTTACGTTTTGACGCGCCGTGAAAATATTTGAGAATTCCATTTCTCGAATGGATTGAAAAATATTGACGAGTTTTTCTTCGTTCCTTCCATCGCGTAGGAGGTTGCAATATTTGCTTTAATTAAACTTTTATTATTAAACATCAGATATTTTCGTAGAAATGTATTTGTCACCGAGCAACTAACCAACAAATCAACCAAGCAACCAACGATATGATAGATAATTAACAAAGCGAAACCAATATAGAATGAATATGAACGGATAAAGATACATAATACTTAATGCTTTTGCTCATATCTCTATATAAATCCTGATTCTCGTAAATATCAACCGACGAGGTAGTTGGAAACGTTGTTTAATTATTTATACGCTCGCATAACTGAGGTCGCATTGGATACAGAAGCCTCCTATTGACACGGAACCATTGAAATTACATTCGATGTTGATGATGCGAATAATATCCTCGATTGGATATCCAACGGGTTTCAACGAATCATTAGTATAATTGGTGTAGGCCTGTGTGTATAAACTGTGGCCCAGTCGAAACAACGCTTTTCGTCGATTAACGAGACCATTTTATAAAGCCTAGTTGGACGGATAACGGGCAAACGAGTCCGGCGTCGTTAATTTATCTGGAAATACGACGAAACGAAGATGTTAAAGCACAATTATGCGACTAATAAATTGTTGGCTCGTTCGAGTTAGCAGCAATGAACGCGAATGGCGTTCCACGGTGGTGGTGGTGGTGGTGGTGGGATGGGTGCTTTTAGTTGGTTCGCCAGCCCCGGTCCCACGATTCGATGCATCAACGAACGGGAGCAAAACGCGCCAACTGCTGGCAGTTGGCAGTTGACGAATATCTAAATTTCCGCGATGCACGCTCGACCGTAATGTGGGCTGCGGCCTTTTAAGCCATTCATGCATCACAATTTGATGCCGGCTAGTAAAAACAGTCCCTTCCGAGTTTCCCTCCCCACCATGATCCCTTTGCTATACCCATCGGAGACCCTGTGGCCGCATGGCAGCCCGCGCAACGTCACCGCACGCCGAAATACGTTCCATGCTTTTACAAAATTCTATCTATGCGCGTATACACGCGTGTGCGAATCAAAGCCGATTGTTTTAATGCACCTAAGTGTACCTTCCAAATCTTTTTCCGTTTGTGTAAAACGACACGTCAACGTACATACACACCTACGTATCATCACGTATACGATGGAATTTCTCTTTGTGCGCGTTAGGCCGTATCAAACGATAAACCGTATTCGCGTTGCTGCGACTGAACTCACTGGGCAACGAACGACGAAAGCTTTTATTCGATTCAAGAACGATCCTTGTATTTTAAAACTGCTCGTGTTATAGCACCGCGTAAAGCCAGAAATCATTGGATTCTATTTCAAAATGGATGATCTTTTTATTTCGTTACACTTTTACAACGGTTTCATACAATCGAGGAAGAATAAATGAAAGTTCACACATAGAAATGTTTAAATAGATAAATTAAGATTAGATAGATTCGTTTAATTATATATCAATGAACGATGATTTTACGTTAATTAATTACGTTATCGTAATGATTAATCGTTGAAAGAAGTATTCGGGTTAACCGCAGCGGGAAAAACGCAAAGCGAAATTTGGCACGCGCCAAACATCTCTCTCCCGAACGTTTTACTTCGCCAGGGTAAAACTCTTTGCAAATATTTGTACTAGCTCCGCGTGGACTATCGGAAAAGTTCGCGCGAAAGTTCTCTTTAACGTCGCTTTGAATTTGAAACGAGCTTTGCGATAGCTACCAAAACGACAAATTTTCTTGTTTCATCAATCCGACCTTTCTATTAAGCGTCCCTCCTTTCGTCAATTTTTTTTTCTCAAAATTCGACCCTTTTTAAGTATTCAATCTCTTATTTATGATGATACTTTTTCTCTCTCTCTCTCTCTCTCTTTATGTTGTCACAACTTCAACGTATAATTCCGTTTACTTAGGCGTTTATCATGGGCTAACAATTAGTTAACCGCTTATTTAGCCAAGAACTTCTTAAAATGCCCTTAAGTTTGAACGAGTCTTTCATAACGCGCTTACACCGCGAACGTCAGTATTTTCAAAACAAAGTTCTATTTTCCACACAACGTCGATCTTTAATTATAAATTTCAAGTGATACTCTAAAGTCACGTACTCCATCTCGAGAGATTAAGTCAACCAGTTCGATTTTCGAGTCTTCAAAATGCACGGTTTACGTGCAGCATACTACTACCGCTATTGCTACTACTATTACCATCGACATTCAGAGGTTCCGTATAAGCGTTGTACTTTTGCAAAACTCTCTTCTACTATTCGTTCTCTATTATTTCTACGATATACGCGCGTACCCGAGTGTGATCATTACTCGTGCGCTCTTTAAAGAATAATATTGACGGTAGAGTCTGGTTTCCTAGCACGTCACATCATAAGGGAGTATCTCGGAACGTGTTATTGCCATCCATAGCGCGACTTGTATAATACTTTACGAACTAGTTGATAAAGCGTGCTTGCGACAACCTTTATCAAAACTTATTCCCTTAGAATATTTAACAGTCTTTCTCTACTCTATTTTTCTTTTTAGTTTCAACGAAAAAGAGAAACATCCTCAATTGATACCTATCTATATCGTTATTTAATGAAACGCCATATATAATCAAGGAAATAAATATAAATAAAATAAAATTCGTGTTGGTTTAACAATGAGAAAGAGAGAGAGAGAGAGAGCAAAGATTTTTGCACGTATAGTATCGATAGTTTCAATGAATAAAAGGGAATCGTACCGAAATATACATTTCCAATGAAAATAAATGTATGTATCTACGTATAAATATATATACTATATGTGCATACCTATATACATATAGTAGAATTGTACGTTTCACATGTATAGTACAGAGAATACAATAGAAAGAGAGTAACTCAATGATACGCGTATGTTACCCCATGTTTCTATTCATATCGTGAATTTTTTCGTTATTTCCTATTGTGTCGTAAATTTACTATTGTTTCAATTAATTTCTACACATTTTTTGTTTTATTGAAGTATCGATATTATAGAAAATAAAAAATAATCAATTATGGAAAGTAGTGTGAGACGAATGCCTCCATGCCAAATACTTAAATAGGGCATGGGCCCTAGGATATCGACTTATTAAAAATTAAAAATAAAATACAATTTGTCGAGGAAAAATGATTTCGTCAACGAATCAACATCATTTTTAGTTAATATTTCTTTTCGCTTTTTTACTTTGCTCGATTTACGATAAAAAGAAGATTTCCTCGGGGAATGGGTCACCTCGAAATATTCGATGAAGGTTGGTATCTTCTTCATTCAAGTAGTTTTCATTTTCATCAAAGGGATTTTGAAACGTTCTACGGAGAGTGCACTTCGTACATGAATAAAGTGCATATAGTTAACGTTTCGGCGATGTTTAATTACCTCGGGGTGCGGACGAACGTATGCGTGTATTACGTTAATTATCATCGTTGAAGTTCGTTCATTTCCACTATATTAGGACTATGTTTATCAAACGTTACGAGAAAAGGAATGAAAGCAAGTGAAAATACCGATTAATTCGAAATATCAAAGCTGTGCCATTAATTATAATATATACTGGAGAAATTAATGTAAATAAGATGAAATAAGGATGTTAGTTCACGCACACTTTAGACCATGACAATATTTTTATCGAAACGCGAATCCTCTTATTGATCGCTACTATTCGCAATTTTGTTAAACAATTATTTGTTATGACATCTTTTTCCAAACAAATACTGACTCCGAGATCTCACTGCAAGTTTACTTATTAAGAAAATTTGATCGAAAATGTTGGTAAAGAAAAAAAGAAGAAACTGATGGAAAGCTTAGGATTTGTTATTTAGTGTACCAAGGAGAATCCCGACTAGGGTGAATGGTCTACCGCATATACCGAAAACTCGATGCAGGAGTATTTATTGTTGGACTTGGTTCGACGATCGATGCATGGGGAGACATCGTCGACAGCTCGGACTTCCTTTAGGCTAACCAATTCCACATGCCCAAAGGAAAATTATGTTATCGCTCGTAGTGTTTCTCTTCGTTAGATGGTAGACAGATAACATTCAAATATAAATTCAAATATTCGCGAAGGCATGTGTGTACGTATGCATTTTCTCGAAAGACACGATAAAATCCGTTAGATCGGTACACTCGTACGAGCGTGAATAGATTTATGAGGACGAGAGTAATGAAAACACAGGTATATGTAAATGCATAAATATATATATATATATATATATATATATATACTAGCTCGTTGCTAATTCACAGTTCGTAACGAACCTACATTCGTAGGGAACATACATACGTATTATACGAACATTATAAAAGTTGAAATTATATCTCATTTGAGCGAGTAGGATTCGTAGCGGCGTGGCGCTTCATTTTTCGACGAGTCGCATGAGTTTTCAGTGAAAATGCGCGGACAAGCAGTCCGTTGGGATTCAGCAGCGTAGAAAACAGAGAAACGAAAATGGAAATTGCAGAAACAGGAGGAATATAGGAATATATATGTAGGTACGTACGCAGCGGTGGAAATCTTGAACGTCCGAATCTGTCGCTCATATCTAATTCTGTTTAGTGCACTGACCAAAATACGAGGGAGAGAGAGAGAGAGTATCGCGACGCATCGCAACACTACGAAAAGTTTAAATTATCCTGTCCGCTGGGGGGAGGAAAGCTCCTCTGGGAAACGACTCGGATTGGTCGAGTCTGATTAGTTCGGCGGTCCTGCACTCGTTTTATTCTCTCTTCCGTGGATGTTCCTCTACAGTTTGGTAACTACCCTCTACTCGTTCAAAGAGAAAACGATTCTAAGGTGTTGCAATGACTTTTCTTCTTCTACTTCCTCTTCTAACTGACGGAACTATGAAAATTACCAATGGAAACTCTTTTTGTTTTACCACTC